CTACTGCCTCCTGGTCCAAGTATAGGTTTCTCATTAGCATGATCAAGTGTTCTGGGATTCCCATTCTTCTCAGAGTCAGCCACAGTTTGTTATGATCCACACAGTCAAACGCCTTTGCATAATCAATGAAACACAGATAAGACATTCTTCTGGTATTCTCTGCTTTCAGCTAAGATCCATCTAACATCAGCTACAATATCCCTAGTACTACGACCCCTTCTAAGCCCAGCCTGAACTTCTGGCAGTTTTCTGCTGATGTGCTGTTCTAGTCGTTTTTGGATAATCTTCAGTAGAATCTTGCTTGCATGTGAAATCAATGATATTGTTCTGTAGTTTCCACACTCAGTTGGGTCGCCCTTCTTTGGGATGGGAACAAATATCGATCTCTTCCAGTCAGTTGGCCAAGTGGTTGTTCTCCAGATTTCTTGGCACAACTTGGTGAGCACATCCAGGGCAACATCTGTTAGCTGAAATATGTCAATTGGTATACCATCTATTCCGGGGGCCTTTTATTGCTATTTTCTTCAAAGCAGCTTGAACTTCTGCCTTCTTAAAACAAAAGAGAACTATTTATCACGATTATTTTCAAAGTCCAAGTGTCATTTCTGTATACCTTGGTGCATACTGTAAGCAATCTGAGAAGGGTGTGCTGTCCTAGGGACTCAATAATGAAACAAAACAAAGTCACCGTTGGATTTGTAAATCGTAATGATGCCATGAGAGAATGTCAGAGGGCCTTCTCCATGCTCAGCTGTCTCTGGACCTCGCAGACAGCATGGTGGATTTGAGAACTGCAGAAGTACCCAAACCGCCGGTGTAAAACACACGCTAGTGTTTGTCTTCGCATCCTAACCTGCCTCTGGTAGTTCCTGGTAGATGTTTGCCTTCAGTTGATGATATTATTTATGTGAATTTCAAATTCCTGGGAGCTCTGGTACAAGCTTTGATCCGCTAATGAATGCCAAACAGTACATTTGGATGATGAGTGGCTGATATATTAATTTATTCTAAAATATATAAGACGGCTTGCTGCGCCATTATCAACTGGAGCAATTGCTTGCAATTAAAATAATGAGATATTCCAAATAATGATACATGCAGTACAAATGCAGAGTGATTTGTAATTCCTTTATCATTTTTATGTGAATACCTTTCTTCCTAATCACAATAATTTTGAGGGCTAATAGATGTAGACTATGTCATATGGATTATATTCTGGAAATTTTTTTTAAAGTGCTAATTTGAAAGCCTTTTGAACGAACAACAAAAGGAAAAGGTATAAAATTGTAATCTTGAAAATGAACTTGGACGACCATCTGGCAGCGTCTGAATAGCTAGATTCAGGCATTTAGAAAGAACGTGGGGAGGGCTGCTGCCACATGGGACTGCCTTTCCTTCTCTGGGTCTTTGAAGTATTCTGCCTTTGCCAGGACCTGGTCTTCCCACTTTTGTATCGCTCTTTATTAGGGGAAAACATTTAAGTTTTCCTTCTCCAGCAGATATCTGCCTTTGAACTGTGGTGCTGGAGAAGAGCACTGACCATCCCATGGATGGTCAAGGGAATGAACAGATATGTCTCGGAGAGGGTGAAGCCGGAGTGCTCTTTGGAGGTAAGAATGAACAGGCTTCACTTCACATACTTTGGGCAAGTTACTAGAAGGGGCTGCTCCTTGAAGAGGGACCTGATGCTGGGAAAGGTGGAAGATCAACAAACAAGAGGAAGACCCTCAACCAGGTACATGACACAGTGACTGCTGAAATGGGCTCTTGTGTGCCAGGAAGTGTGAGGATGCCTCAGAACAGATCTTCTGTTCATAGTGTCACTATGTGTCGTATCTGACTCGACAGCACCTGACAACAACAGCAACAACGGGTTTCCACCTTCTGTCAATTCCAGCCTTCCTACTTTCTACCTATGTATTCTGTGGCAGAGCCTTTCTCCTTCTGGGTAAAGAGTTAGCGCCGACGTATACACATGCTCACCAACAGGTACGTGTTAAAATATTTCCAGGCCACTCTCTATTTGTAGTATTTTCACGCTCAGGAGCCTTGGTGGTGTGATGGTTAAGCTCTCCTCTGCAACCTAAAAGGAGGGAGGTTGGAACCTATTAGCAGCTGCATGGAGGACAAGATGTGGTACTCCACTCCTGCAAAGATCACAGCTTTGGAAACCCTCTGGGACAATTCTCCTGCAACTAAGTGTCACTATGAGTCAGAATGGGCCAGACAGCACCCAATAACGGCATTTTCAAGCTCCAGATTTTTGAGAGTAGGATTAAGGGCTTGGCTCTGTGACCTGCTTGTGTTTGAAAAAAGGGAGGAACCCTTTAAAATTTGCCAATGGGATTTGAACATGGCAATGTAACACGGCAGTAGCATTTTCACTTCTCATGTGGGAGACCTGGGTTTGATTCCTGGCCGGTGCGTATGCCAGTGCATGGGCAGCCACTATCCATCTCTCAATGGAGGCTTGCATCTTCCCTCATATGAGGCCAAAGAGGGTTCCTTGACACTTTTAGGTTAAGAGGCACTAGGAAGAAAAGCCTGGCAATCACTCAGTGGAAACTCTATTGATCACAATGTATCATATTAATCATCAAGTCATTATCAGGGTGGCTCCGTACCAGGTAGGGTTCATTCCTTTAAGGATAGGTTTGCCAGGAGTAAAGGATCAATTGGATGGCCACAGACAACAAAAGTTCTCCAAACACCTAGGTAATATATTACTTAGAAGCATCCATGCAAAGCCATTCTATCATGTGGCTCATAAGAAGTTAAGGTTAGCAATGAGAAGAACAGAAATCCCAGAACACTTCCTTGTGCTCATGAGGCACTTTCACCTGGATCCAGAAGCAGTGAGGGCTATTACACAGTTTAAGAGCAGGAAAGGTATGTATCCGGTATCCTTTCATCACACCTCCTCAGGCTGCATGAGGAGCTAACAATCTCAGAAACTGGACTATACAAGGAAAAACACAGCACCAACACGACAGGGAGACTCCTTGACAAGCTGAGGGATGTAGATGGCACAGCTTTGCTGGTGGAAAGTAAAGACACTTGGAGCACTTACTGATGAAAATGAAAGACCACAGCCTTCACTATGAATTACACCTCGATATCAAGAAAACAACGGAGCTCTGGTGGCCTAGTGGCAAGGAGCTGTGCTGCAATTCTGAAGGTACACAGTTTAAGGCCACCAGCTGCTCCGCGGGAGAAGGATGGGCAATCTCCTGTGCGATTTAATCGCCTCTGACAAGCTGCCGAAGGGTCAGCTATGGGTCAGTTCCAACTCTATGGTAAACAACAACATTAAGAGAACAAAAACTCTCACAATAGGTAGACCAACAGGCAGCATTGTAAGAAATGGGGAAAAGACTGAAGTTGTCAAGGATTTCACTTTACCTGGATCCACAATCAATATCCATAGTCGTAGCAGTCAATAAATCAAACAACTTACTCTTTTTGTTGTTGTCATTGAGTCAAGCACAACTCATAACAACCCTATGAACAAAAGGCCTGAAGCCTTTCTATAACTATCGACATTTATCAAGTCTCATAGAGTTTACAAAGGCATATTGCTTAGGAAAGTGGATGCCACTCCTGCTTCCACTGGGAAAAATCTTCAAATGGCTAAAGACCAAAATGTCCCTGTCCCAAACCATGATAAATTCCACTGTTTCATAAGCATGTGAAAGCTGGACATCGACTTGCTGACTTTTCATCGTGATTTTGGTGAAAACTTCTGAATATACCACTGCCAAAAGAATAAACAAATCCATTTTGGAAAATTGCAGCAGAACATTCTATAGGAGAAAGCAGGATGAGATTTCAACTCATCCACTTTGGGCACATTATCAGGGGGGGCTAGTCCCTGAAAAAGGACTTCCACATGCAAAAGAGGAGAGTCACCATAAAAAAGGAAGACCCTCGCCTTTCTACGAAGATGGCGCCGAAAGCGAAGAAGGAAGCCCCTGCCCCTCCCAAAACTGAAGCCAAAGCAAAGGCATTGAAGGCCAAGAAGGCATTGTGAAGGGCTACCACAGCCAAAAAAAAAAGAAGATCCACACGTCACCCACGTTCCGGTGGCCTAAGACGCTGAGACTCCGACGGCAGCCCAAATACCCCCGGAAGAGCACCCCCAGGAGAAACAAGCTTGACCACTAGGCCTTCATCAAGTTTCCCCTGACCACTGAGTCAGCTATGAAGAAGATAGAAGATAACAACACACTTGTGTTCATTGTGGATGTCAAGGCCAATAAGCACCAAATTAAACAAGCTGTCAAGAAGCTCTATGACAGTGATGTGGCTAAGGTCAACACTTTGATCAGGCCTGATGGAGAGAAGAAGGCCTATGTTCGACTTGCTCCTGATTATGATGCTTTGGATGTTGCCAACAAAATTGGGATCATCTAAACTGAGTCCAGCGGGCTAATTCTAAATGTAATAAATTTTTCTCACCAAAAAAAAAAAGGAAGACCCTCAATGAGATGGACTGACACAGTGACTTACACACAGCAGAGATGAAGAGGATGGCACAGGACTGAGCAACAATAAGCTGGCTCAAGGCACCTAACAACAACTTTTTCATGGTTTGTGCAAAAATGAAATGAACATTTGAATGAGTGCATATTGCTTTAGGCACAATACTATGACCTTCTTTCTAAGGGCCAAGAAAGTAAGGTAGACAAAAACAACTTGTTCCAAGGCTAACGGTGATAGGCAAGCTTGATGAAGTAAATCAACCAGGGAACTCAGCTCTGAGACAGCCTGCCAGATTCCTCCTCTGGGGTGCCTCAGAGTGGGCCTTCCTAGAATGGTGATCAGTGAGCTGAGGGCTGAAAGGCAAGATGTTCTCAGATAGGCAATTGTCCTGGGGAAATGAGTCTAGGCACAGGGGGCACCTAGTGAAGGAGAGGTATATTGGAATTGGCGTGCATTAGGGCATTGAGAACACAACCATCGCAGCTGAACTATCATGACTGAGGAAAGAGCAGTGGAAGATGAGCCTGAAAAGGTGAGTGAGAGCTGGTCATGAAGAGGTTTCAGGATCCTGGCCATCTAGCTTGACTTTGTTATGTGGATGGGCAGGACTATATGAATAGGGTGGGTTAGTCTATTCACAAGGGGACTGGCTACGCTTGCCATTAAATTGAATGGATTCAGCAGCAGGATTGGAGAATTTCACCACCAGCAAAGAAGAAGCAAGATAACAGAGCACTCTTTGGAGCCAGAGATTCTTGCACCAGCTAGACCTACAGCAGCCATGACCACAGCAGAGAACCAGAGACCTGACAATAGACAGAGCTAACCTTGGGACAGTTAACCCATAGAACCAGAGCCCAGAGCCATTTGGCCAAGGCTTTTTGAGAACTCAAAGGGCAAGAGGTGGTGTGTAGCGCCATAATTGGCAGGACTAATAAAACTTTTTCACATTTGCCTAAAGCCAAGAGGCTGAAGACTGAGGTGCTTGTGAAAGCTGGAATGAGAGTATATCTCCTAACAACCTGAATTATAGCCTTTGACTTCCCTAATATGGCTCTGTGCAGTCTGTTAGTTAATAGCCTTTTGACATCCCTAATATGATTCTGTGTGGTCTATGAGTTAATGTAATGGATTTTGAACCCAGTAAGCAGTAAGATTGGTGTTGGGATGGAAAGATAGAGGTGCAGGAGCATGGGGACATGTCTGACCACATGGGAACTGGTTTTAAGTTGTTGATGTTGTTGACGAGGGCAGTTCCCCTTTGTGGAGTTTGGTAAAGGTCTGATTTTATGTTGTTGATGTTATTGATGAGGGCGTTTCCCCTTTGTGGAGTTTGGTAAAGGTCAGATATGCCTGTTCACATGCATGTTCACAGAAGTAGATTGCCAGACTTTTGTTCCTAGTCCTTCTTAATCTAGAAGCTCCCTAGGAACCTGTTCAGCTTCACAGCAACCTGCAAACCTCCATTAACAGACCAGTGGTCATTAGTTAGAAATTAAAGCCGTGTTTCCCACATGAAAGATGAGTCCTACCACTGAATCCACCAGGGCCTCACTGCATATATTGTGTGCTATCAAGTCAAAACCGACTCCTAGCTGACACTCCAGTGTGTTCTCAGAGGCACTAAATTGTAAGAAAGGAGATTTCCCCATATTTCCACTGCAGAGCAATTGATTTTGAATCACATAATTGGAAGCGCCACTTCCTACAACTAGGCCTCAGAACTCACTCACGGGTACATTGCTGTTGTGTAACAAAGAGTCAGAACCAGCTCACAGCTGACTCTCCAGCAGGTTTTCAGAGGCTGTAAATCGCTCAAAAGCTGATTGTCCATGTTTCTCCCATGGTGGTGCTATATAAATGCTGCTTTTTGGAAAGAGTTAAGACGCAGACTGACTGCAGAACACCTGAGCTCAAATCCCAGTGCTGCCACTTATTAACTGTGAACTTGGTGTCATGCAACCCTGTACCTTAGTTTCCCTACCATTCACGTACCTTATCAGCCTTCATTGCTTATACTTCTTTCTTTTTTCTCTTCACTGCCTCCCTCCCCCCTCACCAGAATGTCAGATGAACAACTTGCCCCTCACCAGCATGTCAGATAGACAAGGAAAGGGATTTCTGTGTGGTTTCCTATGTACTTGTATGTTTACTAAAGGAATGAAACCTAAATTTCAGCCTCAGGGGGCTTAAAGAATGTGGGGAATTAGATGCCTGGAGGGAGTTAGGAGACTTGAGGGGATCTGAGGGAATCCTGCTTATAAGCCTATCATTGAGATTACTTATAAGAATTGGTGCATAACAAGGAGATGAGCGAGGGGGTTAGCGAGGGCCTGAGACCACAGGCAGGGAGAGGTGGACGGGACATCACCTTTTCCACAGCAGTGCCCATCCCCTGGCCTCTGCATTAATGGTGTGTGGATGAGTAATGCATCAGGAAGGCTGAATGCTTGTGGTTTCCGCACCACTGAAACTCCCGCCCCTTGCATGGATATTTATCTCGTACCTCTCAGACCTGCCTCCATTGCCACAGACCATCACCGCAGACTCAGCACCTACGGAGCCATGAGAGGTAGGCAGGGGTCCATGCGACCTCACAGAACCTGTAGCTTTCCTATTCTGTCTGTCCTGGGTCAGATGCCTGGCTGCCACGTCTGGCTTGCGGGTAACGGGACTTTGGTTCTAAAACGGGGAACACGAAGGGTTGGAGCTGCTCTATCAAACCTGGTCTCCTAAACTCCTTAAGCCCTGACATGTACAACAATTCCCCCAAGCCCATGGTCCACCAATACTACAAATTCCTCTTAATCTACTTGTTCTCCTAAATTATCTTACTATCCCTCTCCAGTCCCTGAACTCCTTTGACTCCCAGATCCTCTAAACTCTTCAATCCTCTACTCTCTAACCTCAAAACTCCTCTTGCTCCTTAATTTCCTTGCTCCATTAAGCTCCTAACTCTCCCTAGCCCTGTTGTTAAGGACCGTAGGCTCATAGCTCAATGTCCAGCAGGTTTTCAGAGGCTGTAAATCTCTGCAAAGAACCATGTGCCTTTGGATTGGCAGTGCAACTCTCTATCACTAAGCCATCAGAGCTCTCTTCCCCAACCCTTACAAGCGCCAAATACTCTGAACTTCCTAAATTCCCATCCTGAAAATGTCTGCAACCTCCTTAAAACCTAAATTCTCCCAAGCTCTCTCAAGGTTCATAACCCCTAAAATTCGAACCTCCCCCAAACTTCTTGAGCCTTCTGAAATTCCAAAAATTGTACTACAAAATCCAGCCTCCTTAACACAAACTCTCTTACCCTTTATTTTCTAAACCTTGGAATCAACCCAATTCACTAAATCTCCCAAACTCAACAACTTTTCAGACCTCTCCAGTACCCTCAGACTGTGAACCACCTTAAAAATCCACCAATTCCTCATGGCCAAATCAGTGCTTAATCCCCTCTCAGGTTGCCCTGGGGTAGGCTATGGGGGGGGGGGACTTCTCCAGTTGGCAGATCAGCTATGCCCGTGCCACCTGACATCCCTTGACCTGGCTCCTGATTCTAGCAGAAGCTAAAACGGCAACCTTCACACTCCTGACGTCTGCCATCCTGGTACTGCTCTGGCTGACCCACCCCAGCAAAGCATGCACCTGTGTCCAACCCCACCCGCAAATGGCCTTCTGTAATTCTGACTTTGGTGAGTCTACACCCTTTGTGCTTTGGTTTCCAGAAGTCCAGCAACGTTCACAGTGGCCCCTACTCCAGCCACACTGACCTCTTCCCACTACCTAGATTATACCAGGGCCCAGTTACCTCCGCACTTTGTACTTACCCTCCCTCTGTTTGGTACACTCTCTCCCTTCAGGTATCCACATGCGTATGTGCTTCTTATAACAAATGGTGGCCTTCCTTGGCAACCGTGATTAAAATTTGAAGCCCTGCTCCCTGGTATTCCTGGTCCTTTTCACCCAGAATTACCCTGTAATTCTCTGTCACATCTAATGTGCTTGGATATTCCATGTACTTACTTATTTTGCTTTTTTCTAGCCAATCTCCTCGTGAAAAGAATGTGATCAACACAAGGGAAAGGATTTTCATGTATTGTTTACTGTTGTGTCCCTAACATCCTGAACTGTGCCTGGCATACAGGAAATGTTAGAGGAGGGGGAAAAAAATGCTTGCTGAATTAAAGAATCCACAAAGCACAGAACAATTCATGGCATACATTTACTAGTTGCAATTGAGTCAGTTCCAACTCCTAGTGATTCTATGTGTTAGAAAAGAGGGCTGGTTCTCAGAACTTTCTTGGTCGTAATGCTAGAGAAGGCAGACGGCCAGGCCCTTCTTGCACAGCACCAATAGGCAAGTCCAAACTACCAACCTTTAGGTTAGTTGTTGAGTGCATACAGTGCCACCTAGAGACCTCGTGGCACATGGTAGTTGCTAAAAAAAATTTATTGAATAAATTAGAGAATGAACACATATAAGAGGCATAGAACAGTATCAGGCAATGAGTAGGACCAGTAAGTTATTGTTGTTGTTGATGTGTGCCATCCAGTCAGAACCAACCTGTAGCTGACCCTCTGGCAGGTTTTCAGAGGCAGTAAATCAGACTGGTGGAGACTGCCCAACCTTCTCCCCCAGAGCGCCTGGTAGATTCAAACAACATGCCTTTGAGATTGCAGTGCAGCTTCTTACCACTAGGCCACCAGAGCTCCCCTAGCTGGATAAATTAGAGAATGTGAAAATTCCTCAGTGTGCTGTGTAGTGTTCTGTGTAGTGTGTACTTACGTATGTGTTTAACAATATCATTGTGATTCTTTTTCACTCACCTTACAACTCACCCAACTAATTAGTTTCCTTCCTTTTCTACAGTCATCAAGGCCAAGTTTACTGGGACAACAGAAATCAACCAGGCCGCCTTATACCGGCGTTATGAGATCAAGATGACCGAGGTAGTCCCTTTTCACCCTTCCCCAGATGACTTAACATTTTCCTCTCCATCAAAACAGAAAACTGGCCACAGGTTGCCAGGGAGGTTGACTATGGACTCAGGATGACAAATGACTTCAAGATACAATGTTTGTTGTTATGTGCTGTCGAGTCGCTTGTGACTCATAGCAACCCTATGTACAACAGCCCTAAACCCTCCTCTATCCTGTGCCAATCGCACTGCCTCCGACACACCCAACCCGATTACCCCAGTCACTGAATCAATCCACCACATAGAGGGCCTTCCCCTCATGCACCATCCCTACAACTTCCCAAGCATGATATCCCTCTCCAAGGACCTGTGTAGAGGGGGAGAATTCTGCCAGTAAAGTAGAAACTCTTCCTCTTGCCAACAACAGATTTTCAAAGGGTCCAACATTTTGGCGAATAACCCAGGCATCATCAACTTCGTCTACACCCCTATCATGGAGAGCGTCTGTGGATATACCCACAAGTCCCAGGACCAAAATGAGGAATTTCTTATTTGTGGTGAGACCCCTGCTTCTTCCCCCTGTACCAAGCCAACCTGCCCCTCAAACGCTGCCTAGCAATATTGTGGCAGGTAAGGCTCCCAAGGGAACAATCTCATTTGAAATGAGAACTGCTCCAATTTCAACCTATCAAAAGGAATTTGGGCTCCAGAGATGCCAGTGAGGCATCATCCCATCCCTGGTTCAGCCACTCAGAAGATGCTTATAAGCTCTTTCCCCTCAACCCCCCATTTCCCAGGAAAACTTCGGAATGGGAACCTGTACATCACCACCTGCAGCTTCATAGCTCCCTGGAATAATCTGAGCTCTGCTCAGCGCCAAGGCTTTACCCAGACCTATGCTGCTGGCTGTAAGGAATGCAGAGTGAGTGCCTGGGCCCTGCCTTCCTTTTCAAGGGGATTCCCGGGCTCTTCCTGCTCTCTCTAGTTAGTCTTTGTCCCTATGGCTTCTCCCCCGGGCTGTTTGCTTTCTCTTGATATTGCTCCAAATCTGAGTATTTCCTTGGAAATTCTGGTTATTTCTAACCCTGTGCCTGATAACTCAGAGTTGGCAATTCCCTGGACCTTTTGGCTCTTCTCTGTCTCCCTGACTCTCTTTTCTGACTATTCTCTAATATCTCTGCTGTTCTGAACCCTCTGGAATTGTTTCTTGGCTCCCTAGAATGTTCTCCGAGGATCTGACGATCCCCCTAAACCCAGGTGATTATTTCTACCGTGTGTGTGTGTGTGTGTGTGTGTGTGTGTGTGTGTGTATTGTTGTTTACTGTCAAGTTGGAACTGATCCATAGCTGACCCTCTGGTGGTGGCAGTTAATCGCATGGGAGGACTGATCCTCTCTCAATAGGTAGGTAGGTAGATAGATAATACATATTTAGAGAGACCTAATCTCCATCTGTCTGTCTATCTTATCTATCTATCTATCTATCTATCATCTCTAATAACTTTCTAATGTCTATCTATATCTAATTTCTCTCTACACTTATCTATCATCTATCTGTTTGTCTGTCTGTCTGTCTATCTATCTATCTATCTATCTATCTTCTAACATTCTGTCTGTTCTTGACAAAAAGGACAAACCCAAATATTCCTGATACCACTGACTGTTTGTTTCTAGGCCTCACTGGTTATTCCTATGCTTAAATTTCCCACCCACTATCTGTTCTCTGTTGCTTTTTTTGGGGTTCCCAGACTCCAGAAGACCTGCCTGATTGCAACTGACACTCAACCACCATTCCTAGGAAATTGGTCCTTTCACTCACTTATTGTCAACTTTGCAGAACCCCATAACTCTTTGTCCAATGAGAAAGGTAGTTCTTGTATGTACTTAGGCAGGGTAATGCTGTACCCACCTGCTTGAGGTTTCTTCTTTTTTAGGTGGTTCCCTGCTTATTTACCCCCTGCCAGCAAAAGAGTAAGACTCATTGCCTGTGGACAGACCAGCTCCTCTTAGGCCCAGAAAAGGACTTCCAGAGCCGCCACTTTGCCTGTCTAGCACATGAGCCAGGCATGTGTAGCTGGCAGTCCCTGAGGCGCCAGAAAGCATGAAACCTGTCGTCAGCAGAAAGCTCAAGCCTGCCTAGTGTTCATCTCCTTTCCTATTTCTGTCTATCTCTCAAATAATGAAATATAGAGCTACCACCCAGCAAGCAGTGTTTCTGGGTATTATTTATACACAACCCCATCTCGACGATGACCTGGGGAACCAATGATGAGGGACGAAGGGAAGCAAAATGATTAAAAGAACGATTTCTTATTTTACATAAAATTTGGTGTGATGGTAATAATTATCAACATTGACATTAGCACTGGTGATCTGCACCATCAGTAATGATAATTGTTTTCCCCGGTTCCTAACTGTTTTATTTATTTTTTTAATTTTTATTTTATATTGAAACACTTAGGGTTCATAATCAGGACGAACCACGTATTAAGGTGAGACCAACCACAAACCGCTCCCCTCCTACACGACTGTTCCCTCACTAAAAGTGAGGCCTCACCTCTAGTCCATCTCCCATAAAATCTGAATGAGGAACCCTACAAACACTCCCTGCATCAGGCTTTCCTGATGGGAAATGGCATCTCTGGGCCTTTCCCTGGTTCCTGCCCCTTGACTTCCAAAAGTCCTTGGACCCATGTGAAGACTTCCAGGAACTAGGATTTCAGATTGGTATAAACATTTAACAGAATATCCAGATGTCCCGTTGACTTGTATCTTCTTTAAAGACGTGAAAAAGACCATGGTGTATGTTCTTTTATTAAGGAAAGCACCCTCAAACTCCCTTCTGTCAATACTCCTACCACTGAGAACCCAGGTCTCCCTCAGGACATTTAGGCCATCAGAGCGGCCCTTGGATCCTCTATGATCCTGTTCCAGAACCCTGTGTACTCCTGGGAGGTTATCCCAGGGCCAGCGGTAAGCCCTTGATCTAGATGAGCGAATTTGATCACTCACTACTTATTTATAGGCTATCTATCTATAGATAATTTGTTGTTGTTGTCATGTACCATTGAGCATCAACCTTATGTACAACAGCTCTGAATCCAGCTCTATTTTGAATCATCATCTCCAACACATATAACCCCACTACCCAAGTCACTGAGCCAATCCAACTCATCAACGGTCTTCGTCTCTTGCAAGCCAGATGTCCCTCCTTGAAACATGCCCACTGTATGTCAGACAAAGCTTCAAAATCCTGGCTTTCAAGGAGCAGCCTGGTCTCACCCTCTCCAGAATGAACCTGTTTGTTCTCCTAGCAGTCCATGGTAGACTCAATACTCTTCTCCAGCACCACAGCTCAAAGGCCTTGATTCTTCTATCATCCTTAGGAGATATCCTATAATTTCCACACCAACATATAGATCTTGGTTATGTCCTGGCGGATCTGAACCTTACACACTGATGCCGAGCCGAAAACTATAAGCGGAGGCTTGGCTCTACGAAACTTGACACTTCTCACAATTACCTCAGCCTCAGCAATTCTCAAGTGAAAATTAGCATCACAATCCCTAACCAGAACCCTTCACACGTCTATGCTGGGGTTGTTGTTGTTGTTGTTATGTGCCGTCGAGTCATTTGCGACTCATAGCGACCCTATGTACAACAGCCCTAAACCCTGCTCTATTGTGTGCCAATCTCATTTGCCTCTGACACACCCATCCCAATTACCCCAGTCACTGAATCAATCCACCTCATAGAGGGTCTTCCCCTCCTGCACTGTCCCTCTACTTTACCCAGCATGATGTCCCTCTCTAAAGACCTGTCTCTCCTTACAACATGTCCAAAGTATGTCAGGCGAAGCCCCAGAATCCTTGCCTCCAAGGAGCAGCCTGTTTTAACCCTCTCTAGGATGAATCTAGTCCATGGTACATTCAATACTCTTCTCCAGCACCACAGCTCAAAGGCATCAATTCTCCTTCTATCCTCCCTAGTCATTGTCCAACTCTCTGATGCATAACAAGTGATTGCAAAAACCATGGCCTATATCAGGCACACCTTAGTCTCCAGAGAGACACCATTGCTCTTCAGTACTTTGGAGAGGTCATTAACAGCAGACTTTCCCATGGCAATGCACCTTTTAATTTCCTGGCTGCTGGTGCTAAGACTGTTGACTGTGGAGCCAAGCAAACTAAAGCTATGTACAATCTCAATCTCTTCACCATCCATCCTGATGCTGCCAATTGGTCCAGTGGTGAGAATCTTTGTCTTCTTGACATTGAGCCTCAATCCATATTGGAGGCTGCAGTCCTTGACACTCTGCAGCAGGCACTTCAGGTCCTCTTCAGTTACAGCAAGCAGGGTTGTGTCATCTGCATAAGGCAGATTGTTGATAAATCGTCCACCAATCTTGACCCCACATTTCTCCTCATAGAGCCCAGCCTCCCAGATAATCTGTTCTGCTTATAGGTTGAAAAGGTATGGAGATAGGATGCATCCCTGGCGTACGCCCTCCCCAATTTTGAACCATGTAGTGTTCCCTTGCTCTGTTCTGACGACTGCCTCCTGGTCCAAGTATAAGTTTCGCATTAGAACGATCAAGTGTTCTGGGATTCCCATTCTTCTCAGAGTCAGCCATAGTTTGTTATGATCTACACAGTCAAATGCCTTTGCATAGTCAATGAAACACAGATAGACATTCCTCTGGTATTCCCTGCTTTCAGCCAAGATCCATCTAACATCAGCTACAATATCTCTAGTACCACAACCCCTTCTAGACCCAGCCTGGACTTCTGGTAGTTCTCTGTTGATGTGCTGTTCCAGTCATTTTTGGATAACCTTCAGTAAAATCTTGCTTGCATGTGAAATCAGTGAGATTGTTCTGTAGTTTCCGCATTCGGTTGGGTCACCTTTCTTTGGGATAGGAACAAATATCGATCTCTTCCAGTCAGTTGGCCAAGTGGTCGTTCTCCAGATTTCTTGGCACAACTTGGTGAGCACGTCCAGGGCAGCATCTGTTAACTGAAATACGTTAATTGGTATACCATCTATTCCTGGAGCCTTATTTTTTGCCATTTACTTCAAAGCAGAAGGAAGTTACTTTATAAAATTTTTTCACACTTGGAGAAGGGAAAAATCTTTAATACCTGAATCCTGGGGCTCATAATGACGATTTTTAATCCCTGGTCATCATGGTTTAATGTTGGTCTTAACCTTCCTCACCAAGTTGGTACAGCATAATGAAATCAAGAGCAGCACAATACTCTGCCCACAAATATTCCTCTGCACACTATCTCCTTACCAAACCCAAGCACGATTCTCTGGCTGAAGGAATAAGGTGGGTCTATGAGGCTGAAAAGCATAGATGGCAGTTCCCCACCTCATCAATGCTCCTCATCCTCTTTTTCTCCCTTCACACTAAAGCTACCAAGGGGATCCTGAGCTTCTGGTTCATGAAACCAACCCCTCTTCGAAAACTATATAACAATGTGGCTACATCTATCTACATATCCACTGATACCAACTGTGTTTGGTATCCAGGAAGAGAGGTTGCCCTTGAAGAATCTCATTACGTCAGCAAGCCTCCACCTTACCTTTGGGCCTTCCTCTGAATCAACACTGAACAAAAGATGCCCTACTAAGAGGATAACCAAGTTGTGCCAAGAATTCTGGAGGACAACTACTTGGCTTGCTGACTGGAAGAGAGCCATATTTATTCCCATTCCAAAAAAAGGTGACCCAACAGAGAGTGGAAATTATCGAACAACATCACTAATATCACACACTAACAATCTTCCTACTGAAGATTATCCAGTATTGACTGTAACAGTACATTCACAGAGAACTACCAGAAATACAAGCTTGGTTTAGAAGAGGTTTTGGCACTATTTGACCAACGTCAAATAGATCTTGGCAGAAAGAACAGAGTAGCAGAAGAATGTCTATCTGTGTCTCACTGGCTATGCAAAGGCATCTGAGTGTGTGGATCACAACAAATTGTGGCTAACCTTGAGGAAATTGGGAATCCCAGAACACTTGTTTGTGCTTATGCAAAACCTGTACTTGAACCAAGAAGCAGTCCTAGAATGGAGCAAGGGAACACTACTGCATGGTTCAAAATCAGGGAAGGAGTGTGTCAGGGATGCATCCTGTCCCCATATCTTTTCAGTCTTTATGCAGAACTGATCATTCGGGAAGCAGGGATTTATGAGGAGGAGCGTGGCATCAAGATTGGATGAAGACTCATCAACAACTTACGATATGCAGATGACACAACTTTACTTGCTGAAACTGAAGAGGACCTGAAGCACTTGCTACACAAAGTCAAGGACTGTAGTCTTCAACATGGATTGAAACTCAACATCAAGAAGACAAAGATCTCACCACTGGGCCAACTGGCAGCATCATGATAGACAGAGAAAAGATGAAGATTGTTAGCAATTACTGTTTGCTTGGTTCCACAATCAACACCAGCAGTCAGGAAATCAAAAGACTTATTGCATTGGGAAAATCTACTGTCATGGACCTCTCCAGAGGTCTAAAAACAACGATGTCAGTCTAGAGACAAAGGTGTGCCTCATCCAGGCCATGGTCTTCTCAATTACTTGTTATGCTTCAGGGAGCTAGACAATGACTAAGGATGACAGAATAAGAATAGATGCCTTCTAGTTGAGCCAGAGTCCTGAAACGTGCCTCCCCTCACACGAGAGAGCCTTGGCCAGCACTTCCAAACAGCTTCAAAATCCAGGATGAGAGAAGACTGCTCACAAAAATCTAGGCTTAGATTCTGCCTCTCTATGCTCTACAGAAGGATGGGCAATCTCTTCCCATGCAATTAACTGCCTTGACAAGCCAGCCAGAGGGTCAGCTATCGGTCTGCTCCTACTCAATGGCACACATCAACAACAACATACTCCACAGTGTGGTGGGAACAAAGGAAGAAATCAAGATAGCAAGCTGGTTTACACAGGATCCACTACTACTGCCACTCTCACCATTACCCACCATTAACTGGCCTCTGAAGTGCTGTTCTCTGTGTCCCTAACAAAAATAGCATGTACACATCTGAAGAACAGCCAGGAGGTCCAAAACATGTCCTATCAGTTATCAA